TCAATATATATATATATATATATATATTTATATAGTTATATTCGTATATAATCATAAATACTTATTGAAGAGCGAAATTAGTTAGCTCTCTGACTATATTATTACATGGGAGCTGTTGAAAGGTAGGTTGTACTATATCGTTTACTTGAACTATAACTGACGGTGCAATAGAATTATGAACCGATATTTCTCAATGTTTTAAAAAAATATAAAATGGAGTTTATAGAATTCGTGAGAGAATTCCGGGTTTTGTTGAGATACCCAATATACTTCATTGAATGTTTTGTTGCTTCAGAACTAGTCTAGACTTTTTTATGATCATTTTTTCTAAAAATGGACTTGAAGTCTTGATGATTCGAGAAGCTTTTTCCAGGACGGCCCCTTTTGAAAACACTTCAAATTCAACTGAGTTTCTTTGAAAGTATTTATTTTGCTCTCATCTTTTCTTGATTCCTTTTCAATACGGTTACTCTTTCAATACTACTATTATAAATGAAATTTGATTTGTTGAATTTGGAACAAAAAAAGAAATGATAGTAGTAATATCATTAACTTACTTGCTTTGAACCTCTTTAAATCACCACCAATTAGCGATAATTTGTTACATTGCGCCAATAAAATAAATAGTTCAGCATACTGAAACACTAGGGAATTGTATCAACACAAAGAAATACAGTCTATTAAGCGAAGCATCATAAAAATATTCAGTAAAACAACTTTCAAATAAGAAACACAGTATGATTTGTATTCAATTTCGTCAATGTTCATTTTCCCTTTTTGTTGGTGCCCCTATAGGCATTTATTGTTTCTTGACACAATAAACTGAATTCAACTGTTTATTTAAAAAAAACTCAGTGATGGAAAAATTTAGAAAAGGGATTACCAACTTTCATTGAATTATAGTCTGTTCCTTTTTACAGATACGCTTACACTAAATTGATATTTTGGAGTATTCCGTAAAGATAATTCACTTACAAATTCACGTCAAATGTCGTTACAATGATATTAGCAGAAAAGCAGTTATGATACTCATCATCGAAATCAACCGTTCCTGACCCATCTGTATCAATTTCAGCAATGATGCCATCAAGTTCTCTGCCAGTAAGCTTCTCATCAAGTGCTCTCAATATTTCTTTCAAAGTACCGGTTGTGATGTAACCATTACCTTCTTTATCATATAATCTGAAATCCAAAGTAAACATTGGCTTTCAAATTGGATGCTTGTTGTTTAGCGAAGTCATAGGGGATCATTCATACACTCTGATCTCACCTAAAGGCTTCTTTAAGTTCCTGTTGGGTGGACTCTGCATCATCTTCTTCAAGGAAATGTGTTGCAATATCACAGAAACCATCAAAGTTCACTCGACCCGTTCTATCGGGATCATTTTTTGTAATTAAACTGTTGAGTTCTACCTCATCAAAGAGTTGACCCATAGTGTTGAGGATGGTGCCAATTTTCATGGTTTCGATGTATCCGCATTTTTTCGTATCAAACATCTGAAAAGCTTTCCGTAGGACCATAATTTTTTGTTCGTGGTCATTCTGGAAGTAAAAATAATTTAATCCAAAATATCCCTTCTCTCTTTAGACATATATATAAAACTCCGCGTGCAAATATCTGAAAAATGAGAGAGAATATCCATATTTCGTGAAGGCAGATGATTTTGATGTCAAAAATTCCTCTTATTTGCGAAGAGATCCAGCAATAGGCGTCATCCATTAGGGCGTCGCGACACCGACGCCAAACTTGTACATGGTAACCTAGAGTTTCTGATTTTTTTTTTGATTCTGCATTGAATTCTGAATTCAGCCATATAGCACACTTGTAGTTTTCTTTGAATACTGATGAAAAAAGGCAATTTTATTGCATATCATAAAGAGATTCATGAATAAGTCAAAATGAATGCAATAATACGAGTTTAATAAAATGAAACCATCAGTTATGATTTCATTGTCTGTTCAATTTTATCTAGTTGCGTATTTCTGTACAAATTAAAATAAATGTTTCAAATTACCAAAAAATATGTTACTTTGATCATAACTAGCAATTAGTGATAACAAGAATCATTTTAGTAAGTGTTCTAACTGCCTCCCTTCACGTAGAATACACATATTGTATCTTTTTAGTAATTCCCGATTCGTGACAGCTAAAAGCGTCTCTCGCGTTATGGAAGCACAAACATTTGTGATACTATTTTTCAAATCCTCTACATTTTGTGGACGTCGCATATAAACTAAGTCTTTGATATATCCCCACAAAAACAAATCTATTGGAGTAATATCTGGACTTCAAGCTGGCCATGGTATTGGACCCTTATTTCCAATCCATTTCTCCAAATATTGGGTAACTATTCTATTATTTTGTGAAGGTACCCCATCTTGTTGAAACCACCTATTCAGTCGAGTTTCAATTGGTGAATTCTCCAAGAGATTTGGCAACACATGTTGTAGAAAACCCAAGTACCTCTCCCCATTGAGAATTCCTTCGAAAAAATGAGGTCTTATCAAATAACTATCAATGATTCCGCACCAAACATTAAACATTTTCATTCAAAATTAGTATTATAACCTATTTTGTGATCACATGTGCCGGCCTGGTACAAAATCAGAATTTTAGAATTAAAAAAAGGAATTTATTCATTAGATTCACAATAATTTTACCAAAATTGACGTTTATATGTTTAATTGTTTGATGTCTAACTATATTCATCTTGAATCACTATACAAACTAATTTCAATGTTTTCCCATTTCTCAAATCTAAGTTCAACATTAAAATCGAATAATAACAAAAATTATTTTAAACATCACTGAGTCCAACCTCAATGACAATGTAAGTACATAATTTTCAACTGTACAATATCAATTAGTCTTATGTTCTATTATTGTAGTTTTCCCTGAGGATAAACTTGAGACGGTGAGCCTCATACACAAGAATAGACATACTTTACATAGATCCCTGAATCATCGTGAATCGAGACAAAGCTCTCTCTTCAGACTACCTATCCCCTCCAGCAATTCAATGAAGGATTTAATCATCTATAATGGGATTAAAATCTATAACCATCTTCCAACAGTTATAAAGGACAGCGCATGCATTAACCGTTTCAGAAAATCGTCCAAAAAACTAGTGCTTGAAATCTCACCTTATACCCTTAATGAATATTTTTCTTCCACTTTTGACTAATTATCTTCATAACTGTAAGTTTACTACGGGGGCCGCTCATAAAACATCTCAGCATGTATCCATATATATGAATATAAAAATCATGTGTAGAGTTGTAAAACATGTGTATAAATCTCAATTTATGTATATTAGTATTAGGATTTAGATATTGACATTTTTTTCGTAGATGTAATCTAACTAATTGTTTGACCGAATCACATGGTATAGCTTTGTCTACGAGAATTATGTTCTTCTGACAATAAAGCATATCTTGATTGATTGATTGATTGAATAATTTCGTTTGGTCGATCTAACCAACTGATAGACTGGTTTCGAGGTGTTTGCCCCATCATCAGTACCAGGCATGGCCTCTTCAGAACGGTGTGAACCGTCTGAGTAAACGACCAAACAAATATAATTCCAGCTAGTCATGGAATCTCTCTACAATTGATTCAGTGGGATGTCCACTGCCCCACCTGACTCTGATTGCAGGTGGCGCAGTATTTATTATGTCCTTTTTTATATTACAGCCCTCGATAAAGTTAATAAACATTTTTGCCGGGTCCTGGTTGACGAAGATTCTACTGGTGAGGTAGCTATCGACGAGCCCGAAAAGATGCTAGTCGTTTGGCCCAAGATCTGGAGAGTATCGTGGGTGAGATAGAACTTTAACGCTCAATTCATTTAACTCTCGGTAATTTTTGAAAGGTAAGGACGAACCCCTTCCGTTGACCAGTACCGGCTGTTCTGATGTGAAAGTTTGGCAAAGTTGCAGTAAATTATAGTGAAACTCACCAGACGCTGACCACCATACAGTAACCATGGTCTTTTTTAGTTGGTTCTCGCTTTTGGAAAGTGCCTGGTTAGAACCACTGTCCTGAACGTCTCCTGTTGTCGTAGAGGATCCACACGTGATGATCCGACCCAAAGAAGTAACATCTTGGTTCCGCATAAGCAAAGAAGAATAGACCTCCAAACGTAACAATTTCTGTCGATCGTTCAAATCGTGAGTTTTAAACTAATAAAAAACCGCATGGGAGCTGACGCACAGTTCTTCCGCCATCCCACGCACCGTTTGTAATGAGTCAGTCTCCACCAGGGTCCTCAAATCCACTTCGGGGCTCATCTTCGAGGTTAAAATCTCCAGAACGAAATTTCGCAAACCAACGCAACGTCGAACAGTGCGTTCATTAACAATGTTATTGATAAAATTCCTGGTTAATTTCTTAGTCGGTTTCGGCAGCGATTTGGTTCCATTTAGTTCAATTTGAATCTGTAGAGACCAATTGGCCGAAAATCTCTCAACAACATCTCGTAGGCTGATAAGAGGCAAAAAATTAAAATTTGGAACAGCATCAATGTATAGAGTACAAAATTTTCTGTCGATCAGTAGAATGAATGTTTATTGAGATATGGAGCTACAAAAACACATGATATTCAAACGGACAAAACTTTTGAAACAACCTAATATTCATTCACAAATTCATAGTCTGATTGTGGAGTAACGTCTCTACCTTACGAACAGAACATTTTTCTTCGAGATTAATGGAAGGTGAAGTCCCAGAAGAGGTCAATAAAAACTCTGATTCTTTCACAAAATCACAAAGAATGATTGCCGTTCAAAAAAATTGGTTGTATTGTGCATATATACCATAACTCAACAATATTTTTAGCGAAATGAGGAGTCATTGAGTTATAAACCAGTTCTTTAAGTCAGTGTGTCATAGTAGCGGCATCTCTTCCATAGTAGAAGAAACCCAAACTGCACCACTTTCTGTATTCCAAACGGTATCTACCATATACCTACATTTATTTTGTAAGTTGCGATCGCATATATAGCGGCATCTAGTCACGTTGTCCAAATATTTTTGTGATTTTTTTTATTAAGACGATATACTCAGTATAATTCAATTCAGAGAATTCGTTTGTGGTATTAATGTGATTTAAAATGACTTTGTAGTTAAATAACAAAAAATGTTCATTGATAAGAAAACATTTCATTTCATTTATTTATTATTTCAGTTATATGTTCTCAAATGGAGTACCTATTACTCGAGATTTCCAGTGATATTTTGAGTTCTAATAGGAAAAATCTGGCAGCAAACAGAACTTATGCATTAACATCTCTCACTATGACAGCAGCATCACAGAATTACCTACAATGCAATGTCATATAGTTATGTTTTGTTTGTAATATAGACACTAATAACTATTTTCGTTTGAAACGCTTTCAAGAAACATCAGTCATTGTCTATCGGGCATTTTAGTCGAAATGTTCCAAAGAATGTTCATAAAATTTTTAGTTTCTCGATTGTGTAATAGTTATCTTATAATAAAAGTAGAATAGATGTGTTTACACAGATGTATAATTGTCGGCGGTTCAGCAAGGTGTTCAAGTACGACAGCATTGTTGTTTTCATATGTTTTCGCATTAAAATGCATTTAGTTTCATATTGTTCGTTTTTGTTAGAGATACACTAATAGCTATTTTCGTTTGAAACCCTTTTAAAAAACATCATTGACTTTCTATCGATCATGAGATTCACTGTTCGAAACCTTTGGTGTAATAATGAATATTACTGGAGTTTTATCTTAACACCAAACCGTTATTTCAACACACGTGTTTCAATCACCAAGTCGTTATCTTCAAGAGGAAGATTAAACTGTTACCTATATAATGATTTATGCATGCATTCATACAGAACATTCGGCATTAGTACCAAGTGACATTTTAATTGAATAGGTACGATTGAATTCTTTCAATGAAAAAGAACAGTATTTGACCATTGAACACACAGAAAAACTACCACTGAGATTTGCAGTCTACGATATATCGTAGGGTATGCCACGAGGTTCCGTGTTAGGACCAATATTGTTTCTAATATATTGATGAAATTCATATTTTCATCCCTGGCTTTTTTTTGACCATGAATGTGCCGCTATTTTAGCTAATCCCACTATTGCTATATCGGAAACGGTAAGACCTTCGAGGTCGGTTGAATTGAACAAAAGTTTCCTATTTTGGGAAACTCAAATAATCTTTTTTCAGATCGAGACTATCAGTGATTGTTTTTGAAATGTTCGCTAAAAACTAAAACTGCCTTATTTCGTTTCGCTCTACCGCCTTCAATTCGAATGATATAAAAAAGGCAAAGGAATTTGCAATGATGTTTAATATTTTTGTATGATCTGATATAAACCAATTTGCAATGCGACATTTTGTTCATTAGATTTCATCATCAACTTTATTTTTCTTTATATTGACCTCTGGCGTTTTCATTGATTTTTGTAGGCACTGTAGTAACAGATTCAGCTTTGCATTACAATACATGTCCGTATTTAGGACAACAAAGTGACGAATTCTAATGAACGAAAATT